AAGTAATAATTAGAAAGTAAATCCTATTATTTAAAGATTAATTAATTTTAAGGTACTTTATACTAATATAATTAATTTATTATTATTAATTTTAAAGTAAATTTAATTATATTTTACTAAAATTATAAGAGCCTATTTACTCTCTTTATATATTTTTAAGTACTTATAGCCTTTATTTAATCCTACCTAAATTTTAATACTTAACTATATTTTATTAAAGGTTTATAGAAAGGAAAAAATAGCTTTTTTATAGTTTTAATTTAATAAAGTTAAATAAATATATAAATTAATAATAGTTATTTATTAAAATATTAAACTAATAAAGTTTATTTTTAAATAAAGTTTATAGTAATAATTTTAAGGTAAGAGTTAAAATAAATAAGGTTTATTATTATTTAATTTAGTTTTATATTAATTAATACTAATAGTACTATATATAGCTAGAATTACTAATTATAATATAAATCTATATATTTAATTTATATACTTATTTTATTAAATAATTTTAATTAACTTATATATTTTTAATTATAATTCCCTTTAATTACTAACTTAATATTACTTAAATTAATTTTTAATAATAAAAGCATTATATAGTTTATCCCTATTATTATTTCCTATATATATATATATTAGTATAATATTAATTAACTTTAGTTTAACTATTAAAGTAGACTATTAAACAGCTAGAGAGTATAACTATTCTTATATTACTAGTAGTAAAAGAAGTATAGTTTATTTTATAAGTCTTTAATCTATTATACTTAAAAGGGAGAGGTAAAGAGTAATTAACTCCTAGTCTATTAGTAGCTATATAGGTACTAATAATTTAATTATAATATAATATATTAATAATTAATATTATAATATCTTTAATAACTATAAAACTATATTTAAAATTAATATAGTTAATATATTTTATTTATATAATATATAATATTATTTACTTATAAGTTATTTATTCTACTTTATATTATTATTAACTCTATTTATATTTTATAGTTAATTAATAATACTTTATAAATCCTAAACTAGGTTTTACTTACCTTTCCTTAATTTTTCCTATTCTTTAAATTATTCTTTTAATAATTTCTAATATATAAAGGTATTAGAAATTATCTTTTAGAATACCTAAGTATATAAGTAATTAATATAAAAGGTATTTAAATAAATAACCTTTTTAAAGCTTATTATATAAGTATTTAAAAATACTAACCTAAAATAGTAAAATCTTAACTTTTAATAAAGTTTATATATATAAATTATAATATTAATAGCCCTTCTTAAAGTAAGAAAATATTTATTATAAAGCTTATTAATTTTATATTAAATACTTTTTAGCTATTAATAACTATATAAGTATTAAATATAATATTATAATATAATATAATTAAAGTAAAAATAATATAAAGAGTTATTTAGTTAATTAAGTTATAGTTAGTTTCCTTAAAGCTAAATAATATAATAAAAATCTAATTAATTATAGTTATAATAGTAATATTAAGTACCTATTTTATTTTATTCTACTCTCTATAATTTATATATATACTATTACTAGGTTAAACTTTTAGATATATTTATATTTATATTTATATTTATATATTATTTTTATATATATATCTATAATATAATAAAGTAGTAATAATTACTACTTTAAACTTTTAATTTAAAAGTAGCTTATCTTTTCCTATATATATAAACTAATATATAATAAAGTAGTTAATACTTATATAGTTATTAAAAGCTATATTATAAATACTTATATACCTAATATTATATTTTATATTATAAATATTATTTAACCTCCTTTAATCTTTAATAAAAACTTATATATAACTATATTTAAGTATTTAATTTATAATAACTTAAACCTCTACTAAATAATTTTAATAATAATAGTAATTAAAAAATAAAAATATCTCTTTATTTAATCTAGCCTATTAATTAATTTAAAGTAATAAGTAATATAAATACTAACCTTATAGTTAATAACTACCTTACCTTTTATAAATTTAAAAATAAACTAATATATTTTATAAAAATTATATTAATTTACTTTAAGGTTAAAAGCTATTTATAAACTTTTACCTAATTTAACTAATTAATCTTATTAAGTAGTATTTAATTTAAATATCTTAAATTTATTTAAATTAAACTTTATTTTACTATTTATTTAAATAAACCTTAATTCTCTTCTTTTATTTTATATTTTTATATTAACCTTAATTTTAAAGTTAGCTATATAATTTAAACTATTATTTTATTATAAATATATTCTTTTTTAATTTTAATAATATTAAACTTTATTAATTACTTATCTTTAAATACCTTTTAAATAAATTATTAACTACCTTTTAACTACTATTATAAATATATTATTAACTACTTTTTAACTACCCTTTAAATAACTAGTTATTAATTATAATTATTAATAACCCTATTATCCCTAATAATAATAAAACTATAATTCTAAATAATAATAGCTTTATTATTTAAATAATTACCTAACCTAACTATATACTACTTTAAGGTATTACTATTATAATTTATACTTTTATTTATTTTATTATAATATTACTCTCTATTTATTATAACCCTAAAAATAAAATTATAACTATTTCTTTTAAATATTATATTTAAATATACTTAAATAATAATATCTAAGTTAAAGTCTATTTATATTACTTTTAATATAAATATAAAACTTATAACTATTATTAAAATATATAAATTATTTTAAATAGTAAAATAGATTTACTCCTATTAAGTATATAACTAATAATTATATAAATAACTATATTAATATTATATATAAGTTTTTAATAAAATAAACTATATTACTACTATCCTTTATAACTTAATCAAATAGTTATATATAAGCAACCTTAATAAGTCTCTTATAAGCTACTTTAAATACTACTATAAAAATATAATTAATAAATTCTACTAATTTATTATTAACCTAATAAATTTAATATCTAATATATACCTTAAAGTAATTTATACTTACTAATCCCTATTTAAAGTTACTTTAAATATATTAGGTTATAATATAACTTTTAATTATAATTAAATAAATCCTTTTATCTTTAATATTACTAATACTATTTATATAAAGCCTTTAATAACTTTTTAAAACTAATAATAGTACTATAATAGTTTTTGGCTTATATAAAGCTAAAAGGATACTATTTAAACAACTTAAAGTTTATTAATATATTATAGAAACTAAGTAATAACTTTATTATACTTTATAAGGTTATTACTATTTTTATATTAGTTATTAATTTATTTATTATTAATATAAATATATTACCTATTTTAATTATATCCTTTTAATATCCTATAATTTTATAATAAATTAAAAGATAATATTCTCCTACTTTAAGTTTATATTATTAATAATTAATTCTACTTTAAATTAACCTTACCTATATTAAATATAGTTATTACTACTATTTAAAATAAAGTAAAAATATTAATTATAATAAACTATTAACTATAAGTATTATATAATCTTTTAAATAGCCTTTATAAGTCTTATTAAATATAAAGGGGCTTTAAATAAAGTTAATATTACTATATACTTTTAACTTATAAAGCTATACTCTTTATATAATATTATTATTAAAGTATTTAAGTAGCTTAAAATATAAATAATAAACTTTTAAAGTTATAAATATAATAGTATTTTATAAAAGAAAGCTATTTTATATTTATATACTTAAAGGAATTTAATATATTAATTAGTAACTTTTAATTAATTAATAAATTAATATTATATAAGTAATAGTTAAAATATAATATTAAGTATTAATACTTTTAATAAGTATATTATAAATATAAATTAAGTTTTAAAAGTATTATTATTAGGATTATTTATTATTAAATATAAAGATTTTAAGTAAACTACTTTTATAAATTAAAAATAAGATTTAATTTTAAAGATATTTTAGGAGGTTATTAATTTTAATATAAAAACCTTTATCCTATAATACCCCTATTATATTATTTATTCTTCTAATAGTTAATATTAATAGTTTTATATATTAAAAATAATAGCTCTACTTATTTTAATATATTTAAGATTTATAAAGGTATTAACCCTATCCTATTAAATAACTTACTATAAAGGAGAAGGCTTTATTCTATTATTATATTTACTTTTATTTTATTTTTACTCTAACCTACTTTAAAATATATATAAAAGATAATAATATTTAAATTAAATATAAAAGGTTATATTTTTATATCTTTTAACTTTTATAATTTTATAATAAATTAGAGTAGTAATAATTAATAATAAACCTAATATTCTATTAAAAACTAATATAGAATATACTTTTATTTTTAATATAAAAATTATTTACTTTAATTATAATAATAATAATAAACTATTATATTAATATTTAATAACTTTAAAATTTAGATATTCTTACTTAATAAAGTTAGTTATTATAATTTAATATTACTATTTTAAATTATTATAGGCTTAACTCTATTAATAAGGAACTTACTTTATAGTTTATATATTTAAATAGTAATATAAAGGTTATATAATATCTATTTAATACTTTTAAATATATAATAGTATTTTTAAATAGCTTATATATAATTAATATATTTTTTAAGTTTATAAAGATTATATTTAACTTTAAGTTATTTAATATATTAACTTAAAGTTTAACTATATAAGTATTAGAAATAATAATAATATTATTATATTTATTAAAAAGTTTTAAGCCTTTATAGTATTTAAAATTATTCTTTTAATTTTTTATACTTTCTTTTATAATAACTAATTATAATAAGTATTATTATATATAAATATTATATATAGTTAATTATTTAATATAGGTTTAGATAGGGTAGATAGGTAGAAAAATAAGTAAAAGATAAGGTTAGAAAGGCTAGGTCTCCTTCTAGAAGTAGCTTATCTATATATTAGGTAGAATAAACTACTAAAATAGATAAAAGCTTTTATAAAAATAGGAAAACTTTTACTCTCGAAGCTGAAGAGGCTGGAGAGAGGGGAGTCTTTTGCTGAAAGGGGTTAAAAGTGTATCCGGAAGCTGCTTACGTATCCGGAACCACATGAGCTGTGGGTGATAGTTTGCTCCGGGATCAAGAACCTCAGAATGTGCCTTGTGGCCCGCTCGATTGAGCCCCATGAGCTGCGCGACATTCAATGCTCTCCGGGCCGCCATCCAACTTCGGCGCAGATTGCCAATATTCGCCTGGAATACACTTTCGATCATAACACACTCAAGGCCCTCGATGCTTCCAAGCAGCTCATCGTTTGTCGTTACCAGGCGGATAGCGAGATCGGAAAGTCGTTCCATAATGTCTTGTGGAGACTCTGAGAGGCCTTTGATCTCCTTGTGCAGATCGGGGTGGAGGTCTATATCATCTCAGTTCAGCTATCCGAGGACAGAGACAGGAGGTTTGCATCGAAAACGGGGTTTGATAAGACACTGCCCGCCTGTAACCCCTCTTATAAGCCGAAGCTCGAAATAGTCTCCAGGTGCAGACAGTGAGAGGGTCTAAAACTTGGGAGATAGATATAGTGTTCCAAACGGGTAGAAAGAAATAGTCAAAATTTTCCTTACGTTGCAGAAAGGTAGCCAGAAGGAGCATGTGTCTCGCAATCAAGACCGGATGCTGATCTCGACTGGGGATCTCCAGTAAAGTCTCGGGGGTCTTGAGCCCCTTCTCAGAGAGTGTGGTGTATGGCATGGTCATTATTTCGTGAGCGAGCACAGATTTGTGCTGGCTGGCCGTGCATATTCTTTCCGTGTCTTCGCGTGAAGGAAGGGATCTATGCAAATACTGAGACAATGTCTCGGATTTGCCTTGGCAGACTTGTCGAACATGCTCCTCAGACACCGAAGTCCTTGGGGTTGGTGCGAGGGCATCGCTCTCAATGGCACGGCGCTGAATAAAACAGTCAATTACATGTGCAGTGTCAAGCTCTGGTGCCGTGAGTCTCGCGCAGGACGACGGGGCACCCACTTCATGTGTCTTAAAATGTGCTAGACTGGGAGACGAGACAGTTGACGCCGGGGTGGTGAGGACATTTCGGTGGATTGGCTAGTCACCAGGTGAGGTCTTTGCCGGTGTCGTTTGCCCAGATCTCTCGCTACTATGGTAGAAAGCGAAGCCCGTAGCCTCGCGAAAGCTCTTTGTGCCGACAGTGACAACGGTACCCACAGCCGCGTGGTCTGGGTTGGGTGTAGGAGCTGATGTGAGAGGAGCGTCCTCTGGGCACTCTTGCCCAACACAACGTGAGCCACGTCGCCTGCACTCGTCACAAGGGCCGCCATCGGCCAAAGGATCAGGAATGCATTTGACCTTGCGTTTCTTGCATTGCCAACACGAGTGTGTCCCTTTTCGGAGCCGTCTCCGCTTCACCAGAGGCTCAGAATCGGGTGTTGCCGCTAAATCAGACGACATGGGGCCCAGGCTATGTACTTGTATATGCCAAGTACCCGGTACGGAGCAGTGGTCCTTCGGAGCAGACAAGGGTAGTGATGAGGTAGGCTGGACTTGGTCCGACGCGTGTGTGGACGCAAAGTGGGAACGCGGAGGAAGAGATGCCAGGCAACGGGGGAATAATAACAATGAAATGCAAGTTCGGCCCAACTGGACAATCGAAGCACGTGAGCGGCGGAAGAAACGTACATTTGTCAGCGCCGGTCGTGCATGTCGGCGGTTGCGGCCGTCAGCTTCGGCGGAAGATCAGCTGATGTTCGGCGGAAATAACTCTCAGCGCTGCTTTGTCCGAGACAACGTCTCCTAGGGTTTAGCCTTTTTAGGATGTCCGCCCTGACATTCGGCGGACGAACCGTCCTAGCCCAGAACCTGACCACTCGCCGTCCACTCCCGAGAAGCCATCTAATTCCACTCTTGGTTTTCTCGGGTGTTTGCCGCATTTGTGAGATTTTTCAGCAGGTGTCGTCTGCCGGAAGCAACAGTGAAATTAAATCGGATTGTGAACATTCTAGGTAGAGCAAAGTGATCTTCGATACACGTCCTCCTACATAAGACGTCGTTGATGGCTTCCGGATTCATTCATATGCATCAGTAATCTCAACATCATCCCCAGTCTTCTGTTCTGCTCTTCTACTCCCATAGCCATAATTTCACCAAGGCACACGCAATCCTGTTCACCAATCTGACCCAGGAGAACTGCGCCACATCGACAGCTTCGACACGGCCCACGTCCACTGAGACGGACCCGGAGGATGTCAGTTGAGGTCCAAAACGGAGGGGGAGGTGTCTCTGGTGAGAAGAGCTCTCTGGACTTCTCAAACCCAACAGATCAAAACGCCAGTAGCAATGGCATCCCTCAAGCGCCGGCCAGTGATGAAGGGGACAACCACAAGACGGTCGAGCCACAATATGTGGAGGGCTTCAAGCTCTTCCTGGTCATGCTCTCCATCAACATGGCCGCCCTCCTCACAGCTCTGGAGATAGGCATCATATCCACTGCAATTCCACAGATCACCGACGAGTTCCATTCCCTGAGCGACGTGGGTTGGTACGGCTCTGCGACCTTCCTCATCGTCGCCGCGACCTCGGCAACGTGGGGTAAGCTGTACAAGTACTGCAACGCAAAGTGGGTGTTCTTGAGCTCCATGGCATTCTTCATGATTGGTAGCATCCCCGCCGCCGCCGCCCCCAACAGTCAGTCCATCATCGTGGGCAGGGCCATCCAGGGCCTCGGCATCGCCGGCTCCATGAGCGGCTCCATCATCGTCATCAACTTTGTCTCTCACCCCAGCAAGCACCCTCTGCTCATAGGAATCTGGACTGGTGTCTTTATGATCTCGACGATCCTCGGACCCATCATCGGCGGGGCATTCACTAGCGGCGTTACGTGGCGATGGTGCTTCTGGATTAACTTGCCGCTCGGCGTTCCTGTCATCGTCCTGCTGCTCCTGTTCCTACACATACCAGACCACATTAAGCCAGCCCCAGCAACGTGGAAAGAGATCATAATGCAGCTGGATATCCCCGGACTGGCCACCTTGCTCGCGTCGCTTGTGTGCCTCACATTGGCCATGCAGTGGGGCGGCCAGACTAGACCGTGGAGTGACGGCTCAGTCATCGCAACGCTGGTCATGTTCCCCGTCCTATTCCTGGGCTTCATTCTGGTAGAATATTTCCAGAAGTCACGGGCAATGATTCCTTTGAGGTTGCTCAAACCACGCATCGCGTGGGCGAATGCTTTGTACAATTTTGTGTAAGTGTCTTCCCAACGCCCTTTCCACCGCTACTCTGGCTGATTCTTGATTGAACATGCAGGTCCAACTCGGCCTTCTACCAGGTCATGTTCTATCTCCCTGTCTATTTCCAGTCTATCAAGGGCCAATCTGCCATCATGAGCGGCGTCTATACGCTGCCGTTTCTCGCGTTCTTTGCTCTTGGTGCGGTGTCTAGTGGTGCCACGATTGGCAAGACGAGATACCTGGTACCCAGTGAGTATGATCATTTGCCATATGACGCATGAAATTTCCGAGAGGCTTTCTCAATCATATCTCTCCCTCGTCTCACTTCAGATTCTGCAGCAAAACACTAACGGACAAAAGACCAACTGGTCAGCACGCTCTTGATGACTGCTGGAATGGCCCTATTATATGAGTTTGACGTCGATACCCCGAAATCTTGGTACGTCGGTGCCCAGGTGCTCTTCGGCTTCGGCGTCGGCTTCGGCAACCAGGTTCCCGTCACCGCAGTGCAGGGCTTGTCGAAGCCCGAGGACGTGCCCAGCTCCACTGCGCTCATGTTCAGTAAGTGTTCATTTTGTGGCCGATACTCTTGGGTCCGCAAAGACTGACCACATGACCAAACCGCATGCCAATCGGGCGCTGGTGCTGTCTTCCTCGTCGTGGCCCAGGCTATGTTCGGGAATCGCCTGCTACAAACCCTCTTGAGCACGGCTCCAGACCTGGACGCTGCGGCTGTTCTTGGAATGGGTGCTTCCGAAATCCGCAATGGGTTCAGCGCCACGGATCTAGACCTTGTTATAAACGCGTACATGGTCGGAATCAGGGACGTGTTCACCTGCTCCCTGGCGGGCGCGGCCTTGGCCGTTCTGATCACCTTGGTGATACCTTTCAAGAGACTTCCGGATCACAGCAAAGGAGCGGAGAAGGCTGTCGATCCGGAATCGAGGGATTCTACAGGCCATTAACACTGTGCCTGGAAACATTACAATCAAGGGGAATTTTACGTCATGAAGTAAGGCGAAGAAGGTGCATCCGGCGATTATGATGCGAAGTGAGGGAGACGGTACCTACCATGATGGCTTGTATAGCATAGATTGTGGCGTCCCATGATTCCAGCCAACACAATTTGGGTATCTGAGGGCAGACTGGTCAGCCTCCGATCCATTTTTTATACATTCATAGTTCGGCTCATCCAGACCTAGGACAAAACCACCATAGGTGTATAACATAAACCCCGTCTGATGTTACATTATAGGCCATGCCCAGGGTTATATGACGAATCATATGGGAGAAGTAGCCTTGAAAAAAGCCGTGCTCAGGGGAATCTGACGGTCTTTTGGGCGCTTATATGCATCAAGGAGCTCGGGCTCGTGGCGTGGGTTGGGCCGCTCAACTCAGAAAACACACTTACACAACCCGTCCCACACATCTGCATTACACTAAGAGCCTCATTTTCAGCCTCTCATAAATGATCACAAAGGGATGCAGTTTCCTCTTCAATTCTTTTATCAAGGCTTAGGACAGTTGTACGGAATAGCTAGCTGGTCTTGTTCTGAATCTGTATGCATAATTCTCGTTAAGGAGTAGCAAACATAAGGAATAGCTAGGAATTGGATTAATTCGTAGTGTTATTCCAAGAAGCATAACAACGCCTTTTGAATAGAACAAATAGTAGCAGCCTGTTCTTTTCAAATGTTAAACATGTCAAATGCTTGATTGATTAAATAAGAATTTTTAAATGTCCCTTCTTTTGAGGAGAGTAGCTGACACTGGAGTTTACAAAAATGTTAAAATTAAGGCGCTCTTGGTGGAAAGAGCTTTCTCGGGTTACTTGCAATGGTATTCTGAGTGAAGGCTTGACTTTTTATTGACAACACATCCGCATGGTAGTTGACAATCAGAAATGTCCTGTGTGTAATGATCCTTCCGACCTCGGGAAGGATTTACCTACGGTTCTCATAGGCTCCGCCACGCTGAGACGTTTCCACTCATATTCAAGGGATTCATTTTTTGACAGACAATTTGGAGAGGGGTTATTTTAAGATTTTCAGGTATTTCTAGACCGTTTATTTCAATTTTTGTGCTTGTCCCGGTATTAATATTTCGCTATTATATCGCAGCTTTTACGCGCTCCATTGAGTTTAGTAACCTGTTTTCTCTCGCCCGAATCGCCTTCAGAGCCGAGCCGGGCTCAAGTATAGACGGCAAGCCCGGAGGAATTCCCCGGCTGCCCATCGCATCTTTTACACACATCATCTGGTAGACGAGCTTCCTTGCCCGGCTAAGCATCGACTCCATCAGGTTGAGCAGGAGGAGCGACATCGTCTCGGACGACTTGGTCAGCGTGAAGGACCCAATTGAAACATTCGGCAGCTGGGGGCTCGAGCCCGCCCAGGAGTCCGCGCCGTTGCCCTTGTGGGCCATCAGGTAGCAGAAGCTCCTGTCGAACATTTCCAGGAAGCGCAGGTATGTGGAGATCACCATGAGGTACGAGGGCTCGTCCAGGGACGGGGACCCGCCCGGGACGCCACTGGCTCCGGGCGTCTGCTGCTGCAGCGGCGGCAGCCTGTGGCACATCTCGCCGAGGATGTGGATGAAGGACTCGCTGTGATGAAAGGTGTGGTCGATGATACTTTCGTAGCTCCCGTCGGACGGCGGAGGGGTGGATATCGCGTCGCCGTGCGGCACAAATTCCGCGTGCTCGGTCAGCTTTGTATTTAGATGTGCCAGCTTGTTCATCCAGTGCGTCAAGTTGGCTGCCGAGTCTCCGCCTGTGACTCCATTCTGTGGTGGTGGCAGCAACGCAACGGTCGTGGCAGACCCAGCGGTCCTGTCGGTCACGCTGCTCAGCCAGTCGGACACGTCTTGTTGCATAGACTCGCGGGCCCCGTCGGCCTGTCCGAGCAGTGTCAAGCCGACAGACGATGATCGACTTGGATTTGATGGTGACAAATTGTCGTAGGTAGCAGGCCCCACGTAATCTGCTGGGCTCAGAACCGGCGCGGGAAGCTCACTGGCAGAGTCCCTCCCAAAGGTGGCCAGGAACGCCTCGTCAAAGTCGGACTCGACGCTGAACCACATGTTCAACGGATCGTCCGCGGCTGCCGGCGAGGATGGCGACGGTGCTGCCTGCTGCACCCGGTTGCGCCTGACCCGCGGGCTGTATGAGCATTTGACATTGGCCCGCTCGCAGCGCTCGCATGTCCGGTCGCCATACTGGACGCATTTGCTTTTTGCCTGGTGACACCGGTCACACGCGCGCCTGTGCTGAGCTCTTGATGGGTTGAAGTGTATCATGCTTTTGCTGTGACCGTAGGGAATGAAAAGCAGTCGGCATGTGTTTCTTATAAGGATGTTTTCTCAACATGCACAAGCACGGGCTGCTCCGCGTGAGATATATGAAGATACCTACTAGGTTGTCAGGCCTGTCTTTCTAGAACCGCATATAGTCGGCAATATTCGTTAGTTGCAAGACACAGGAGGTAGTAATTGAGAGTTGCAGGCCGCCAAGGGAGCCGCTTAAAGCTGTTTACAATCTTAGGTAGGCTATAGATCTGTAGTTAGTTACGTAAGCAGGCCCTACAGGCAGCCAAAACCATACTTCTATAGGCACCCTTTAATAGCTAATTCTTCTAATTAATAACCTAACTACCTATACCTTTAGATATTAGATTCCTTATAAATTCTAGTATTTTAATATATAAGTATAGAGTAAGAATATATAAAAATAATTATTTTTATTAAGAAAACCTTATTTTATCCTTATATTTAATAAGAATAATTATAATTAATCTTAATATTATTAAATATACTTTTAAGTAACTATTAACTTAATTATTACTTAACTTAAGATAAATATTTATACTTTAATTATATAAAGCTAGATTACTCTTAATAATAATAATAATTATAGAAAGAAAACTCTATCTATTAAACTAAATAGTAATAATATTTATTTACTAATAACTATTATCTATAAATAAATAGTCCTTAAGTTAGTTAAAAGTCTTAATATTCTATTATTGTATACTAATTTTCTACTTTTAGTTAATTTTTCCTATTTAGTACTTTATAATATCTAGTAAAACTAATTTAATAGGGACTCTTTTTAAGAGTATCTATTAATTATAAGTTTAGTATTAATAAATTTATAATTAAAGGAGTATTTTAAAAGTTTATTAATTAATATATTAAGTTTATAGATTTTTAATACTTTAAATATTTTTTTTTAATTTAATAAGAATTATAAATAATAATTTAAAGAGATTAAGTAAAAGTATAATATTAAACTTAAAGCTATTAAGGTAGTTTAGATTATTTAGAATAATTATATTAATTAAAGGTTTAATTTAATTATTATATACTTTAATAAAGTATAATTCTTTATTATATTAAGTAAAATAAATAAAATTATTATTTTAATTAATTTATATTTTTAATAATAAACTTTTAATAATTTTAAACTTTTAGAGTTAATATAAGGATAGTATAATTAACTTTTAGTATTAGTTATATAACTCTTTATAGAGGTTTATTATATTAATAGAGGTCTATTTATAAAAAGTTTTTTTATAATAATTTTATTTAATAAATTTAATTTTTTAAAGCCTTTTATATAAAAAGGTTTTTTTAAAAACCTTTAACTTAATATTATAGATACTTTTATCCTTAATAAGCTTAAAAGGATATAAATTTAACTCTATATTTTTATAATCTTTTATAAATTATAATTAAATAAAGTTTTATATAATTATTAAATAACTTTAATAGTCTTATTAAATAAATATTTATTAATAAATTAAGTTAGTTTATTTTTATAAAAGTAATTATATAAATCTTAAATTAATATAATACTTTTTATTTTTAAGTTATACTTTTTTAATTTTTCTACTTTATAAAATAAATTATATATTAACTTTATTTAATACCTTTAAAATACCTTCTTAAGCTTTTATTTTTATAATAATAATTTATAATAATTTATATTATTCTATTTAAAAATCTTTATTAATTAATTAAATATTTATATTAAAATTATTAATAAATTTCTTTAATTAGTAATTATAATAATTATAAAGGAATTTATTAAATATATTAAAGTCTATATTAATAAAATAATTAAATAAAAATCTTTATTACTTTTAAAATAATAATTTAACTTTATAATATAATTATTTCCTTTTATTATATAAAGATTAATTAAAGTATTATTAAAAGTTAAAAGTTATATAACTTAAATTAGTTAATATTATATTAATATAGTTAATAATCTTTAATTTATAAATTAATAAATAAACTATTTACTTTATTTTTAAAAACTTAGCTTATAATATATAAGTAGTAGGTATTAATTTTATATTATTATAATTTAAAAGAAAGATAATACTTATTTTAATTATAATAAATAAAGCTATTAAATAAAGGATTATAAAGTTAAACTTACTTTTTAAAAATATTTATAATTTATTAATTAATTAAAATATTACTTTTAAAAGAGTTTTTATAATAATAAATAATTTAATTTATTTAATTAATTATATAATATAATTATAAATTAATATAATAAAATAATTAATTAAAGTTATTTTAAAGTAAATTTTTAAAAGAATATTTAAATTTATTTTATTAAAAATAACTTTAAGTAAAAAAGGAATGTTATAACTTTACTTTTTATATAAAAGATAATAATAAAGTTAAAGACTTTTTAAAGGAATTTTTAATAATCTTTATTTAAAAATTAGAGTTATTAAAGTATTTTTATATAAAGTAGATATTAATAATCTTTTACTTTTTTATAATAAACTACTTTATAAAAGTATAAGAGTATTTTATAACCTTTTTATATTTAACTTATTAATAATTATAATTTTTATACTTTCTTTAATTATAATTTTTAAGTCTATTATTACTTTAAATTTTTAATAATAAAGTTTAAATTATATTTTTATAAACTTTATATAAATAAATAATATTAATAATATTAATTTTTAATTATAAAGGATATTTTTATTATTATCAAATTTATTATAATTAATAATTTTTAAAGGATTTTATAGTTTTCTATAAAATAATCTTTAATAATATATTTTAAGTAAATTTACCTTTAAAATAATCTTCTATTAGTAAATAATATACTATATATAAAATAAAATTCTTTATTTATTCATTTTTAATTAATTTAAGTTAATATTTTTAAAATATATAAGTTAAAACTTTTAATTATAAAGATTATATTTTAAATATTAAAACCCTTCTTTCTACCTTTAAAGTAGTATTTAAATACTTTTATAAATAACCTTTAAATTATTATTTATATTAAGGAGTATATTCTAAAGTTTTTAATTTATTTAATAAAAATAATATTATATAAATATTTTATTAAAGATTATTATTATATTAATATAAATAATTATAAACTCTTTTATCTCTCTTTTAAATAATTTAACTTATAAAAGTAAGTTATATATAATTTTATTAAAGTTTATAAAAGTATATTTATTTATAAAAATAAAAATCTTTAATCTTTACTCTTTTATTTTATATTTAAAAAGTTTATAATTATATATAAAAAAGTTTAACTAAATAAATTATTTAATATTTTTATTATAATTATTATTAATTAAATAATTATATTAAAAGTATATATATTCTATATTTAATATTATAAATTAAATTTAATATATAATAGATTATAAATAGTATACCTTTATAAATTTAAAGAATAGTTTTAATATATTTAGTTAAACTCTAAAATTATAAAAGATTACTTTTATTATACTATTTAATTTATATAAATAATTAATAATATTATTTAACTTTTATAATATTTTAATTATATTTTAAAAGTTTATTAAAAGTTTTTATAAATTTTATAAATTTATATATAATTTAATAAATAATATTATTATTTAAATAGATATTATAAAATAATTTTATAAATATATATTAATTATATTTATTTAATTAATAGTTTATAACTTTATTTTAAATATACTTAAAATTAGTTTATTTATTAAATAAGAGTCTTTTACTTTTTTATTTTAAAAGATAATATTATTATTAATTTAATAAAAGTTATTACTATTTATAATTATTCTATATTAATAATTATAATTAAAATTTATAACTTTATTAATATTATTAAATATCTTTATAACTTAATAAATAACTACTTTAAGTAAATAATACCTTTATATATAATAATAACCTTAAAGATTAAATTATTATACTTTTAAAAGGTATAAAAATAATAATATAAAATTAAAGATATTATTATTAATTTTTAATTATAAAAACTTTTAATTAATAGTTACTTTTATAATTAAATTTAATATAAATAAATATTATATTAATACTATTCTTTTATAACTTTATCTTTATAATTAAAATTTATTTTATATTTAATTTTATATTTTTAAAAAGTTTATTAATATATAAATATAATATTTTATTTAAAAATAAAATTATTTAAAATTCTATTAACTTTATAATATTAATTTTATTAAATTTAAAGTATTAAAATTATAATTTTAATAAATTATAAATTCTTAAAGATTATTAATACTAAAATAAATTAACTCTTTTAAATTATATATTTTTAAATATTATAAAGTATTATAAATTTATATTATATATTATATTAAAATTAATATTCTTATAAATTATTTATTTTATTTACTTAAAGATATAGTCTTTAAAATATTACTTCCTACTTTTAAATAAAAAAAAAAACCTATTAAAATAAATTTATAAACTATATTAACTTAATAAAATAAATCTATAAATAATCTATAAATACCTTTATAAAAGAGTTAATCTTTCTAAAACTATTTAATTTAAATAAATAAAGAAGTACTTTATCCTTTTAAATAATTACTTATATAAAATTTAACTTTATTAATATTCTTTAAAGGACCCTCTTTATAAAGTAAAAGTTACTCCTTTAATAACTCTTTTTTAATTTTTAAGTTTAATAATTTATTAATAACTATTAAGAAACTCTATCTTAATTATAATTATATTATAGTTAAAAATACTTTTATAAAGTATTTAAAGAGTATTAATATTTAAAATTATCTTTACTATATAATAAATAATTATAAAATATAAAGTATTAATTAATAAAATCTTCTTATTTAATATTTTTAATCTTAATTTAATTATACTATTAATACTTTTAATTTATTAAATAATTAATTTTATATTTATAAATAAAGTTTTTATTTTTATAATAATTAAATATATTATTAATTAAGTTAAAGTTAAAGTTATATTTAATATAATTTATAAGATTATATTTATATTAATAAAGAGGATTATTAATATTTTTAAAGTTTTAAAAATAGATTTTAAATAATATAGATTATTTTATAAATAAAGTTATTATAAATTAATATTATTATTATAGTTTTTATTTATATTTAATTATATTTAATAGATTAGAAGGAAATAATA